GCAGGTCTGCAGAGCTGTGCACAGAGGCAGGTGCTGAGGCGTGCCTGGGACACCTGAGGAACACCGAGGACGACCTGACCCGAGGCCGCCCAGCCCCGTGCCTGGAGGAAATCTGCCCAGGTTTGTACGGGTCAGGGTTTTATTCGCATGTGTAAACTCCTGGAGTGCCGGCTTGGATGAGCGCAGCTCTCGCGCCCTGGTGAGGGCTGGACCCTGCACAGAGCAGGAACTCGGGCGAACAGCCGGAGACCCCGGGAGCTCCTGCAGCACGGCACAGCCGGCGGCGGTGCTGGTGCTGTTGGAGGAGCGGGGACGCAGCTTTGGTGCCGCAGCCTCAGCCTCAGCTGAAACCAAGCCCTGACAGTCAGGGAGGAGGAGTTGCCTTTATTCAGAAGCAAACTGGTCTGCTAGCAGAGCACAGCGGGTTGTGAGACATACATTGAGTTAGAAATTCAGGAACCTACTGGCACGGCCCCGGCCGCAGGCAATGCTGGATCCCATCCTGCGCTGCCAGACCCTGGCTGCTGCTGCCTGTCGGCTGCCTACGCCGCCATCCTCTGTCGGCTGCCTACGCCGCATCCCTGCCTTAGGCTTTCTAGGCAGGTTTGGGGTAGGACCAGCTGAATATGGTGTCTGTGAGGGCTGATGGCAGGTAGCTGAGGGGGATGTAGAGCAGTTTGGCATCCCAGCCCGCGGAGTAGCGGGTGCGGGGGTAGCAGCTGGTCAGCGCGTGCTCCATGCAGTCCGTGACGAGCGTCAGGTTGGAGTTGCATCTCTTCTGCATCTTCCTGACTGCTAACAAAACTGCGGAGGCAGAAGGCACTGCTCAGGCTGCTGGGCTTAGACCCCCGCACCGAACACAGCCGACCGGCTCGGTGGGATCACAGGGTAGTGGGACATCCTGTGGTCCCAGGGACATGCCTTGTGTCGGAAGAGAAACAGCATCACTTAACATTTAGGTGAGGTACTTACAATCCTTCAAGTAATTCTCCCCATAACTTGCTTTGGTTTCCTCCGGGACCTTCTCCCAGAGGGAAAGAAAATTCTTCTCCAGGTTCTCGAAGCTGGTGATCATCGTCTTGAAGTAGCCTGGCTCGATCATGCTGACCTTCACCCCAAAGCTGCTCATCTCAAGCCTGGAAGGGATCGAGCCCCGTGGGACGCAGGAGCAGCACCCAAGCGCATCCGCCGCCCGCTGGCGTGGGCTGCGTGTAGGCACTGGCTCTCATGCGGGATGCACAGCAGCC